ACTTTCTCTGACCCATGCGCTTCTCTTCCCATTTCTCTCGTTCCCTCTCTTCCTGTTCTATCCTCATCTGTTCCTCTTCGAGGCGTCTCCTCTCTTCTTCGGCAGCTCGCTTCCTCTCCTCGTCTTCTCGTATCTTGGCCAGAATCCGATCCCTATCTCGTCTCGCACTCTCCTCGAACGCACGATCTTGCTGCGCTCTCAATGCCCGCTCTGCCTGTCTCGCCTGCTCCTCGTGGTCCTTCTCCCGCTCCGCTGCTTCCCGGGAAGCTTTTATACGCGTCAAGTAAGGCTGAACACGCGGCAACAGCGTTTCTGTCAAGTGCGTGCACAGAGCTTCAGCTGTCGTGGCTGTAGCTCCTTGGTGTCGTGATAGTATGGATAGAGTTGGGGAAGCTGTAGAATTGGAGCTCGAAGATGAAGAGTTACGTGCAGGCTGTAAACCCACGAACGCAACGTAGGGGTATGTAGTGGATTGGAGTTTAAGAGACGCGGTGAAGGCAGGCGTATCGCGAACGTCACCTCCCCAAGTGTAAATGTTGTTGTCGGTGAGAAGGTTGACGAATGTAGGATCAGTGAGCGTGTTGCTAGTAACGAAAACGTCAGTGAAAGCGAAAAAAAAAAGAAGCCAAAAATGTTCAAAAGACTTACTGTTTGAACGGCGCAGTATCGTCGTGCTCTTCACTGACGAGGACTACACATCCAATCCTCGCCTCCTGGGCACAAACTCGCAGAAACTGGTCGTACGTCCCCAGGGCAAAGTCGGGGAGGTACTTTCTTCCCGCATCAACGTCAGCACTGCTGTACATAGCTGTAGCGCCGCTCCTCGATGTCAACGTGGAAGGCCCCGCCTCTCCGGCCTCTATTCCAGAGGTCTGACCTCTGGTGCCAGCCTTGCCGATACATATCGCGCCTGTTTCTTCCTCTAATTCGCGTATCCAACGTTCCGGTCCTCCTCGTCCGCGACCTCGCGTGCTTCCGGCGTTTCGGTAGAAGTTAAGAGACAAGAATGGGATGTAGGGAATTGGTATCCGGAGAATGCTGAATACGAAGCGGAATATTGACGAAATTAGGTGGAAAGGATAGGATATTATCGTGACCAGAGGATTCCTGTATTGCTGAGGCGGTCCCTAGAACATTCTGTGTTTGAAAAAGATAGAAAAAATCATTGGTAGTAGAATGTACATACCCTACCACCGAGCAATGGCCCTTGTTCAGAGTCATCTATTCCGTCGAATGGTTGCATTACTGGTGTTTCTGAGCGCGCTCTCGCGGTGCTCTCTATTGGTGGAGGACGAGGTGGTGGTCCACCCGTTCCAAATATCATTTCTGCGGCTTTCTAGCATGGTTTTTAGTTTGCTGTTGTAGAATAGGTAGAGTATAACATACCTGAACATCCCAGTCTACTGATTGCAGCATGCTAATGGCCACATCATCGTCTCCTCCGTTCGTCATCTCCCTGAATTGGTTCAAGGCAACCCTCTGCTCATCGGTGAGTTCATCCATGGGTAGACAGGAATGAAGAAAAGATTTTGAAGCTGTTCTGAGGCCAGACGATGAGCTATAGCGGCGTGAAGGTATTCCGGTGGTGGTGGTAGAAGGACAACCCGCGTGAAGACTGCTGTTGACGTCGAGCACACTGCCCGCCGCACTGCGAGTGGGCCACGACACGCGCCGGTCCCGGCCGGGCGCTCGATGAGCGCTAACCTCAGCTCGGTGCCATTTTTGGAAGGTTCGCGCCTCTTGCTTTGAACTTCAAGTTCAACGTCCATGATCATAGCGATCTATACAGTACTCGGAATTTCTTCGTTACACCTGGCCAATATGGAGGATGCAGACAGCAAGAATGGTCTTATGCTTTCTTAGACTTGTTCCCGAAACGATTACCCGAATCGAATGACAAAAATCCAGTCGGCAGCAGTCTCGTCCAAAGTACGGTGTCCCCTCCGTCGTGGGACTGAACACTGGATTCAACCTGATTCTATTTGCCACCATTCTGCTGGTCGTTCTCGATTGTCTTCTTCCTCTTGACACATTCATATGTATTCTGCAGGCCTTCCCAGCTTTGCGAAAAATGCCTCGTTGACTGTCCAATTGTGCTCCCTCTACAAATAGGCACGGATTGTTCAGCCCTTCAAGGAGCGATAGACACGGTCAGTTGACAGTTTGTACGGACCTACAGCGTGCCTCATTCGCTCTCTAGCCCCGCTTAGTAGGCCTGAATCGTCATGGACTTCGTCCGGCGCCCTCCTGGAGCAAGCGTTTTTGCGGCGCACTGCGGGGAAACCTCGTTGCCACCATCTAGACCCCTCTCTAGTGCTTCAACCCATAACGCATATCTAAAGCGGCTCGCCTCTAGCAGCACCTCAGCCAGGAACCAAAGATTTGAGCCGAACCGATGTGAGTTTTTGAGGGTGCCTAATGGTCCCGAACACCAGGTGATCCACGCGAACCTAAGTTGTGGACCCGTCTTACCACTCCTCCGGACAGTAAAACTCACTCTCTTTCTCTTTCTCGATGCCAGGGTTTTTGGTCTAACGCAGCGGTGACTATTCAACGGCTCTTCAATCCTTCTATACGGCATCTCACACCACTAATCCCTTGGCTCTCTAGTTCTCACTTGCTCGAACGAAAGTCCAATCGTTGAGATAGAATTGTGGCCTCACATTTGAGTTTATAAGGCCAGGTAGAACGAGTCTTACATCCATCGGTCTACCACCCAAGGTCGAACACTTCAGCACCATGCAACTCGCTACTCTCCTCACCGCTGTTGCCCTCGCCGTCAGCCCCGTTCTGGGCCGAAACTTCAATGTTATGGTTGGGGCGAACAACGACTTCATATTTGCCCCGAATCAGGTCAACGGTGCTCTCCCCGGCGACACCGTCACCTTCACGTTCGTCTCGAAGAATCGTGAGTGACATCCCGACGTTCAGGCCGGTGTCTTAGGTTCACGATCATTGACGTTTCGCTCAGATTCGGCGACGACGACGACCTTTAACAACCCCTGCCCACCTCCTCCAGGTGGCGTCGGTCCTAACGGGTTCGACACTGGATTGTATGCTACTTCGTCGACTTGAAATCCGTATAGCTCACTTGTGTTTCCGCCACTAGCAACCCAACGACCGCCACAAACCACCCAGTCCGCGTCATCACCGTTAGGGACACTCAACCTCATTTCGTGGCTTGCATGCAAGCAGGAGGTGCTCACTGCAACATGGGAATGACGTTCGCTATCAACCCGACTCGTCAGCAGACCTACGATGCGTTCCTCAACAACGCTCGTACCGACCCTATTCAGACCCAACGTATTCCGGGGAATTGAGAACTTTGGATAAGTAGTGTGTTTGGACCGCGAGATTTATTTCTGTTTCTTGGGTTAGTTCACCGGTCGTGTGTATGTGGCTAGGGAGACAGTGCTTGGTGTCGTTTGTATATTGTACTTGCCCCACATATGGGTATCTCTTTGATGGAAAACCTGTTCGTACATCGAAGCCTGGCGGCGGTTCGCTCCGTGTTTGGCCTTCAATCGGACCGCATTCAACGCCCCTTGCTTCAACCTTAAGCTTTGGGGCACGACCCTCTCTATCTTGAGGTCCAGACTCCGTGTATAAGGTACCTTCGAGCTCTAATAGAGGAATACGAAAGAATTGTCCCCTACGGGGATTCGCGCATGACCGAAACCCTCTGAGCAGTGAGCAGGTCACGGCAGTGGCAGTTTCGAACAAGGAACCAACATTCAACACCAACGAAAGGGAGAGAGCTCAGGTGTCTCAACAAAGAACTCCTCGCTGAACCAATATTTGCTCACAACGCGGCATGTCATGACAGAGACCTTGGTAATGCTACTCCTTGAGAGCAGACATGGTCGTAGGAATGCGGATAATGGTGAACAAGGCAGGCCCATCATGATCGAAAAATTCAGATGAGATGCGAGACCTGTTCGCGCAACACGAGAGCCCTGATAGATATTGAGCAGGTATTACACCTGAGTCCGTCCTACAGAGGAGAGCCGTGCTGGCGTAACGGAGGATCGAAATGTGCTCTAAATGGCTCTCGATTCGGAAAAGGTACTAAACAGCGCTTCTAGTGCAAGTTGTATCCGACAAGGCTCCGTCGTCCAATGATTTCTCCAATCTAAATGATAGACCCCGCACATATGAGAAATAATTTCGAGAAGTCATAAGCACGATATAACACACCTTGAAGATACCATACGCCTCGAGTGCGTAAATTCCTATCCTCGCAATCTCTCCGCTGGAGATAGCGTTTTGCCAGTACTCCCGACTGCTGGCACGCGACCAGAGGGTCTCATATGCTGAGCGGATGGTGTTGACGGAAGTAGGTGGTTGCAGGCCCTCTGCACGGTATACGTGCTTCACGAGTTCACGAGCTACGGCGAGGTTATAGGTAACAGGTTGTCTGTAAGCTAGAACGGACAAAACGGTCAGTTCAAGACCAAAGTTCGGGGGACAAGCACGTCAGAAACGGTAAAATAGCATGGGAATGCGGAAAACATTCCAACAGTACCGAGCCAGAGGTCGTCCATGTACTATAGACCATTCGCCCCCTCGACAACGCGACCCAATTTGCCCAGAAATTCTTTGAAAATCTCGACAGAAACTGGCAGCTCACCTCCAAGAAGGGAAGCAGCTCTCTCCCCCAAAGGTCCTGCAAAACTTTTCGCGCTCGCCAATGCCTTTCCTGCGACTTGTTGAGTGCTGGCAAGAACTTCCTGAGCCTTCTTTTGGGCAGCCTCGACTTGAGGGTTCGCCTTGCTAGAGTTGAAACGAACGGAACGCCTGAGGGCTGGACGGATAGAGGAGGAGGCTGACTGGCGCAGCATGATGGTCGTCGGTGTCGTGGATGAGGGAAAGGAAGAAAAAACGTATCGCCGTCGGTCCGTGCGCGTGGCCGACAACCGGGACGTCCCGGTCGACTAATTCGGCGGTCACGTTGTCATTTGAAAAGCAATATATCGCATGACACAACTCAATTTACCATCGGTTCAATGGTCTAGTGGTTATGATTTCTGTCTTACAAAGAACACAGAAGGTCTCCAGTTCGATCCTGGATTGAACCAATTTTTTGTTCCTTTTTTACTGCTTCAGCGTCAGCCGTTGGTCGTGTCGGTATAAAATCTCATTTGAACCGAGTCAACGTTTCGAGGACCAAGAATTCATATTGAACTCCGTTTTCACTGCTGTGAGTCTACAAACATCATAGAACGCCGCCTCCCACCAGCAGATCGCCGAACTTCGTAGTCTGCTACTTACTCTACCGTTGGCGGGCCATGACAGACTGACGTTGTTCATCATTTTCGCAAACCGAGCCAAAATCAGGAAACGGTCTCGGTCAAGCCCCATGTTCTTAACAAGATACAACGTGATTTCATTTTCTAAATACATAACTACATTCCAACCTCGTCGTTCCGACTCCAAAGTGCAATGCTCTAGATATCATCAATAACGAGCAATGTCAGAATCGAGTCAATCGTATTGGTTCAGCTCCATACCTTAGGCCCAGCGGTTGATGTTGTTGGCGTTGTCAACATCCGCCTCAGCCTCCTGTGGTCAATTATCAGTGACAGTCAAGGCCTAAGGGCGAGTCACTTACTCTCTTGGCCCATCGATTAATATTGTTTGCGTTGTCGACATCAGCCTCAGCCTCCTAGAGTCACCTATCAAATCCTGTATCCAGAAAAGCTAGGTCAATTCAGACGCACCCTGGCCCAACGGTTGATCTTGTTAGCATTGTCGACGTCCGCCTCCGCCTCCTGAAGTCATATTTCAGCCACATCCAGAAAAGGTGTGATAATAGAACATCGTACCCTCTTCGCCCAACGGTTGATCTTGTTGGCATTATCGACATCAGCCTCAGCAGCCTAGCGGGTAGTCGTGCGTTAAGATTAAGTCTATCATTCTGATGCAGGACGTACCCTCGCCCAACGATTGATCTTGTTGGCGTTGTCGACATCAGCCTCGGCAGCCTAAGGAATAGTCTTATGTTGAGATCAAGTTGAACATTATTCCGATTGTAATGCGGGACGTACCCTCGCCCATCGGTTGATTTTGTTGGCGTTGTAAACGTCCGCCTTGCAAAAATCATTAGCGAGGAACCACAGAGAAGGCATGGTTCAGGACATACAGCTACGGGAGCGGCCACAGCGGCGGAGACGACGGCGAGCAGAACAGCGAGAGAGAAGGCACGCATGATTGAAGGAAGGCGGCACTTGGTCGATTGACTAAAGTCACTCTTGATATGTGGTTTTTATAGCGCCAAAGGCCGTTCCTCCCAAGATCATTGAACCATCGAGAGACTCGATGCGAGCCTCGTATAGGTTTCCGATAGCGGTCCGTACAGGAATCTCTCAGAGGTTAGGAACTCAACTATCATCTGATGAGGGGTAAGCAACTGCACTCACGACGGAAGTGGCGTTGGATGGATCATGGCCATGTGTCCTCAAGGGTCGAAGTGGGCTCGAGTCCGCAGGAGTGCACGGGGCCTCTGATGGTCGACGTGAGTTTGCGACTCCATTTCCAGGTTCAAGCTTGCCCTAATCGTCTAACAGTCCGGCAATCAGATTCCCGCATGGTGCGTCCCTGATTGAAGTGAGAGATAGTGGTTATCGACGGGATGAGTACCATTCAGAAGGAGAAGTACTGATTACGGATGCTTCAGACTCCCTGAACTCTTGTTTCGCTGACGCCTGGCGAAGATAGAGGGGTAATGTGCACATCTGGGTTATTGGGACGCTCGAAAGCCTGTGAGTAAGTAACGATACCGGGATCCGTGAGCTGTTAGAAGAGAGTCGCTGCGAGAGCCTCCCCGTATGGTGTTAAGCATCCTTCATCATTACAAAGAGCCAAGCCCAAGCTACCGTGCCCAACCTTTGACTATCGTTTAGTCACACGATCTGAAATTTATCTGCGGGCTCCATTTGTGAGCCATCCTCGAGCGGGAGGATCTTGTACCTCCATTGCCCAGGGACGAAAGAGAGGGCCGGTGAGAGGTTCATGGAGAAGGCGGGGACACCGAGACACCGAGCAGAATCTGATTTGAACTCCAAGTATGATAAAGCGTACCGTGTACGGCACTGAATCAGGAGAATGTGATCAGGGTGAGGCGGGGACCGCGCACCTGCTTTGGAGCTTTCTCTACTTCGGCTCTAGCCCTAGCACTGCGGTACGATCTCTCGAGTTCAAGTGGACAATCGTATCAGGGGTAAGATCATCTAGCCCTATCGTCCTTCGTTGGTTTTCTTGCTTCACTCTGATACTCTTCTTCCCTCCCCACCCCCTGCACCTTTACAGACATGAACCGAGAGCAAGACTACGGGTACGCTCCCCTTCTGCACGCCGGCGAACGCGACGCTGAGGTTCCAGGGGAGTACAAGTACCCTCCCAGTGAATCAAAGTATCTAGCAAACAGCAGGACCGCCAGACGATCCCGACTCAAGACGTTCGTGATCGTCGTCCAGGGAGTGACCAACATAGTTCTAGCTCTCCTGCTATTCCGGGTCTGCATGCGAGAAAAGTCGACGATTGCGACGGTATCTGAGGAACAGCTGCTCTATTGTGAGTCTCTGTATCCTTCCGCGATGGATTATAACTGACACGCACCTGTTATTCAACCAACAAGCTCCAGTCAACCATCTCATTGAACGCCAGGTGGTAATCTACCCCAATGCTCTCAACGGTGATACGACACCCTACATGGGACCTCCATCTCCGGAGGTGGACAAAGCTTGGGACGACTTGTACCAACGTAAGTCGTAATCTGATCACCTCATTGATTGGAACGAAGGCACTCACACTCGTTCTCCCTTCCCATAAGACGGAATATCGAGAATTAGTAGACACGACGCGAAGCTGATTCCTTGGAAGACTGCCCGGATCCCAAGCGACCCAGATCATCATATCATTGAACTTGACGTATTCCACCAGTTGCATTGCTTGGTAAGTGATCTAAACTGGACTGAAAGGGCTTATTCTGAATCGATCCCCTCGTAGAACGCGCTGCGTAAGGAGCTTGACCCCCAGTATTATCCTCCAGATTATGACAACAAGGAAGACCACGACGTTCACTTGTACCACTGCATCGAGCACCTCCGACAAGGTATAACATGCGCAGCCGGTGAGCAATCCTTTTTCGTTCTATTGATAGTATGAGCTTCGACAGCTGATTCGTTGAATGTTGAAGACGTGAGCCCGCTTGTTTGGCAGTGGGTTCCAGCGAAAAACCAGACGTTTGGGGTGACAGGAGTTCCACATTCGTGCAGGAATTTCGACAAGATTTCAGACTGGGCTAGGAAGGAAGAGAATAGGTTTCATTACGACCAATGGGACCCGACGATTCATGTGCCAGACGACGATTAGGGAGACTCTGGTGGTCTGGTAGAATTGGGGTAGCTAGTATGAGTTCCATGAGTATAATATAAGAAATCGGTTTGACGCACTCGTTGGCAAATGCTACTAAGTGAACGAGTATGTTAATGCGGTAAAGTTTTGCGTTGAACCGCTGTGAACATGGACGTCGAGAACAAGGCAGTCCCTGCGCGGCAGTGCGCTCGTTCCGGATATGGTAAGGAAATTAGCGCCCATAATGTAAGAAGCACGGCCACGTCGGACCGCAGAACTTTCAGCTTCTTCCAGCACGAACATCAGAATTTTCCACTCGTCTATTTTCTCGCCCTCATGTCACTACATGACACTCCAGAGCAAATAGAATTCTCGTTCGGGGCTCCGTGAGAAACGAAGTCGAATGGATCAATATAAGTATTCAATTCAATGTACTGGTGGCTAACACGTCTGTTTCGCTTAGGAGGCCCTCAACGACGACGTCGAGAAGAATACTGATGACCGAAACTTTGGCCTTAAGGTATGGACTGCAGGCTTTCACCAAAGCAGATGATTCCCATCAATAAATACAAAACAGTACCAAGTATTTCCTAGTTTTTCCCAGCTTCAAAAATACCCCCGACCACTGAATCCCGATCAGAAAAAAACGAGCGATATTGTCAATTGACTCGTCCCCGCGCGCACGGTATCCTTCTCAGTTTCCTGGAATGCGTTGAGTCTGGATGGGGTCGGTGAGCGCGTTATTCAAGAACTCGTCGTAGGTCTGTTGGGGAGTTGGATTGAGGGCAAAAGTCATTCCTCTGTTGCAGTGCCCTCCTCCCGCTTGCATGCAAGCCACGAAGTGGGGAGCCGTGTCAACGACATTGATGACATGAACCGGGTGGTCTGTGGCAGTCGTCGGGTTGCTAGAAAAATGACGTTGGTATTGTCAGCTAAGTGAGACGACGTCTAAGAACCCAGCAAGACGACGCACAATCCAGTGTCAAATCCATTAGGACCTTGGCCACCTGGGGGAGGTGGGCACGGGTTAACGAAAGTCGTGGTCGTCGCGGAATCTGACCGGAAGTGTGAGATTGTAGGCATATGAAGACGGCAATGCTACTTACGATTCTTCGAGACGAACGTGAAGGTGACGGTGTCGCCAGGGACGGCACCGTTGACTTGGTTAGGGGCAAATATGAAGTCGTTGTTCGCTCCAACCATAACGTCGAAGTTTCGGCCCAGAGCGGGGCTGACTGCGAGAGCGACGACGGCGAAGAAAGTAGCGAGCTTCATGGTGCTGAGTTGGTTGGAACTGTTCAGGCAAGTTGGTTGGTAGACCAATGAATATGGAATGCGTCGAGCCGACTCTTATAACTTCATCGTAAGGCCAAAATTCTGTCTCAACGATTGGCCTTCGTCCATGCAAGTGAGAATCCCGACCACCAGGGGAATACTGTGTGAGATGCCGCGCAAAAGACTCAAGGAGCCGCCGGTGACTGATGACCGTTAGTACGTTAGACCAAAGACCCTGGCATCGATCGAGAGAGGGCAAGTCTACTGTCCGGCGGAGTGGTATACGTGTCCACAACTTAGGTTCCTGTGAAACAACTATGGTTCGGATCCATGAATTTTTCTCACATCCATTGGATTCTCGTACCTGGTACCTGAGGATGATTGAAATATCGCAAATGCCTAAAGCTTTGGCGCGGCGTCAAGCGCGCGTAATGCGTCGAAGTGTTGG